CAGTTTAATAATAATTAAAACTATTTCATTAATATAATATTAATAATTATAAAGAAAAAAAAAAATAAATTTATAAAGATGTTGGGTACTTAAAAAAGGATTATTATTAGCATTATTCACCTTTTAGTCGTTGAACGTATTTATTTATATATAAAGCTTAAATAAATTTCGCTTCAAATAAACTTAAAAATGATTAGACAAATTAAGTTATTTTTGAAATTAACCCAAATTATTACCAATATTTTAAAATATTGGAGGACTAACAAGTAATCCCTAGCGTAACTTTTTCATAAATCCAAGACCTTTCCTTTATGAATCTTGTGATCATATGCCCCGCTTACGCGACTGATAGACTTGTAAGTCAAACAGTAAAGCAAGATTAAGCCATTAAACTTTTAAAGTAAAAAAACATCATATTAACAAGTAAAATTTCTTTATTAATATGACTAAACAATAATATAGTTATATTATTATTTAATTTACATCTATTTACCATATAGTTAAAATCTTACTTAAAAAAATTAATAATAACTAACTTAATATAAACAATAACTGGATAATTAATAATAATTAATTACAAATTAAATAAAAAATTCAAAAAATAAGAATATTTAATGAATTTTTGTAAATAAAAATCTACAAAATTACAATATGAACTTTGGATATACCCAGGTACTTTTTATGGGATCTGTGCCCCGCATAAACTGCCTTCCTACCATAAAGAATATAATAGAACAAATAAAGGTGTTTCAATTTCATAACTATTACCTTATACACTGGAAATTATCAAATTATATCATAGTAGGTAACAGTAAAGCTGCAAAGGGTCTTCTTGTCTATCTAGAGGTAAGCAGCATCTGCACTGCTAATTCAATTTCACTGAGCCAATCATCGAGACAGCTGTTGTATCGTTAAGTCATTCATGCAAAGACCGCATTTAACGGCCAAGGTATTCCGCTACCTTAGGACCCTTATAGATAAGGCCGCCATTAATCGGGGTGTTCATCAAAACCTAATTAAATAATTAAGTAAATCTGTTACCCTACCGACATCGGGCAGACATCACACTCAATACTTAGATTTCTATCTTGGCAGAGTGCTTTGTTTTAATTAAACAGTCGTACAACACTATTTTATGATTCCTTTTACTATTTGATACTTATATATCTATAGTAATGGTCCTCCTTATCCCGAAGTTACGGTAGTTAATTTGCCGAGTTCCTTAATGATTGTTCACTCAAACGCCTTTGTATACTCTACTTGCTTACTTGCGATAGTATTTAGGTACGGTTTATAATTATTTTTTTTAAGATTTTTGTTACAATTTCCTGAACCTTTATCACTAAATAAAGATTTTGTTTACAAAAGATAATTATTATTATCATCATATAGACCCTTTGGGGTATATACTTAGATACCGAAATTTAAAATAAACCATAAGCTTAAGGCGAGGAAAAATAATATTTTCCTTTTTCGTTACTCATGTCAGCATTCTCTCTTGGATTATCTATTATTTTTTTAACTTAAAAAAGATAAAATCTAAGATTTATCCAATGTTCCGCTACCCCGTATAATAATACGTACAAGGTTTCGGTATATTATTTAGATCCGTTATATTTTCGGTATTAATATCTAAAATATTTAATCAGTGCTCTGTTACGAGATCTTCAAAAAATGGCAGCTTCTAAGCCTATTTCCTGATTGTATTTGATAATAACATCCTTAATTTCACTCAATAATAATTTTGGAACCTTATTACTCTTGTTCTGGGCTGTTTCCCTTTAGACATACAACCTTATCGCACTATGTCTGATTATTCAACATTCATCTTTGCCATTCCGAGTGCAAATACTCTCCGATAAAATCTACACGATCCCCCGATATATACAAAATAAATTTTTGCCAGAGATCACAGTTCTGTACCTGCTAGATGTTAGTTAAATTACCTACTTAAATAGGTTTCGCGGAAACCAGCTATACTAGTCAGTTT